AGGATTAATTTAGAAAATTTTGGTAAAGCAATTAGGGATCATGCTAGTATTATATTTGATGATTGCATGAGAACCTAAATGTTTAGTTGAGCCTATATACGTTCTAGTGCATTTGTGGCTTCCTTATTCCAGTGAAATCATGGGACAAAAACACGACCTCGCTTAGTTTGAAGGATGCAATATGTTTAGCATCGTGTACCAGAAATGTATCCAGGAAAATTATTATCGTTAACCAATAAAGGTTGAAGTTGAGCGCCCCTGCTTAAGCATGTAGGGATTTGAGTGAAAAGAATTTTTGGAGCATCAAAGTTAAGTATGAAATTAGAAGATCGAAAATTCTGAAGAACTTCAAAAAGTTGAAGATACCAAAAATCAAACAACAAGGTGGTGAATTCAAAGAAATTAAAGATTAAATGTCAAAGAAGTGAAGAATTCCAAAGAGCTCCAATGTGGTATCATAAATTGTAATTGTCTAGATTATGTATGCTTGGGTTGCTCAATCAAAAATACCTTGAGGTTAAGAGATTTTCTGAGGATGGATTCGGAGGGATGCATAAAATGAGCATTGTTCGGAAAAAGCGGGCGAATGTTTATGAGGATTGTGAGTATTTGGAGTATGGGGGTTATTAGGAAAATTTTAGACACAAATGCATGCGTTGCGGTCTTGGCATAATGGCTGGGTTTGATTGAGATTGTCTTATGTAATATTAGTGTACTAAAATTCAGTTTTGCTTGGGGGCAAGCAAAAGACAAGTGTGGGGTATTTTGATATGTGCATATTTAGTGTGTATTAAGTGTAGTTTATTATTCATATATTAGCTAAATTGTTGCATATTATGGACAAAAGGTACTTAAAAGTGTTAAATTATGTTTTTCAGTCCAAAGATGAAGCTCGGAAGCGAAAGGAAGCAAGAGAAGCGGTTAGGAGTTCAAGAGTGGAAAGAAGAAAGAAAACACCCATAAAAGGCTTCTACTCGTCGAGTCTAACCTTGACTCGACGAGTCCGGTCGCGGATTCAGAAAGATAAGCATTCGGAAGTCAAGATAGTTATCAGATTACGACTATTGTGAGAGGGACTCGACGAGTCACCACATGACTCGACGAGTCGGGATGCATATATAAAGATAACTCTATAATGCGAAAAAGGGAGAATTCTGGGAAGTTTCAGAAGTGCTTAGCTGCGAAAAAGAAGCCAGAAGAACCCTAGAAGTCGACCAAGGAAGCTAGAATCCAATCCCGGGAGTAATTAAGGCGTAATTTCATCATTCTACTTAATTCTTTTGTTTTGTCAACATGATTAAGCAACTTGAACTTATTTGTTTGCTGTTATTTACCTTAGTTATGAACTAATTTCTTTATACTTCTGTTTGGGGATACAAAGTTGACAATATGGTTTGATTGATTGGTAGGATTAATTCCAAGTTGGTGATTAATTGTTATTTTAGCTTGCTAAAGAACCTTGTGTATGAATGATAATAAATTTTCTGTTAATAGGAAGATAATTGATTAGCATGAACATCTATTGATTATCAACCTCGTATGATACGTGACCACTATATCATATGTCTAGGATTAATGAATATGAAACTAGGATTAATAAGGAAATTGAGTAAATTTATGTGCAAGCTTGTAAGATGACCATCGAACAAGAGGTTAATTAAGAATAACGAATTAATTAACTATTGCAAGTCTAACTTAACCCGAATAATTAATCTAGTAAATATAATTAAATTAAGCAATTGGCCACTGTTTGAATTAGTTTATTTGCTAAGGATTAGGGTAGTGAACACAACTTAATCACTTGAATCGGTAACCAACGAAAGAATTAATCCATTGCACCATTACCTTAAAATCAACCATAAAGTTAACCGAGTTGAACTAAACAGAAGTTTCTTTCCCGTTATTGAATCTAGTTAATTCGTTCTTTTCTAGTCTTGCATTAGTTCTAGTTAGTAAGTTTCTAGTCTTGTAAAACTAGAGAAAAAACCCTTTCTGTTATTTGTTTTATTTAGATAGAATTAGTTTTTTTTTTATTTAATTTGCCGTTCCCTGTGTTCGATACCCTGCTTATTTAGCTATACCACAATTGATAGGTTCACTGCCTTTTGTGTGTTATTTGATAATTAAAGTAGGATTAAAACTAGTTGGTTCTACACACATCACCGAGAATATGAAGGAAGAGAGAAAAGAGAGATTAGTGTGGTATTTGCATGATGGTTAAGCCCTAATTTCCTAAAGATACGGTGTACAATATGCATGGATTTCCACCATGCATTAGTGAGGTGTCAAGTGTTTAAATTAATTAAATTTTCTCTTTTTTCTTATCAAACCTGAGAAATTGGAGAGGAAGAAAAGAAAAGAGTATTGGGCTTAAATTCATGTGTAATTGATATTGTATTGGCCTATTAGGGATTTTCGATCCATGTGGGCCCACATATGAGTTTACGACCCAAAATGGTAAAAGATATGGGTTTTCGGCCCATATAATTAAAGAATATGGTTTTCGGCCCAATAAGGCACATGATGACTCTTATGGTCCAAGATGCTATTGCTTATTGAATGTGGGTCCAATTAGGGCCCAAATAAGGTTTCTTATCCGAGAAGAATCGAGTTGAGGGTTTATTGGTCCATTAGGCCCAATAAGAGGATCCTGGTCCAATAAGAGTTTGAACCGGGAAGCTCGGGTTACAACCCAAAGTTGAGTGAATGTAGTGTATTGAATTAGGTTTAGAGCTAGTACAAGTGAGTTTTGATTTGAATTTTCGTTTGTGAATTACACATGGACAAAATTTCTTAGCCCAAAATGTCAGTTCAGACAAAAACTGTGTATCATAGATGTTAAAATCTAACTAGTCAGTGAAAACCGTATTTTTCACCCTAGTTAGAGTTGTTACAGCTTTCGGCCAAAACTAATGAAACAAAGTAGACTCATATACCAAACTTTGAGAATAAGTTTAAACAAAAATGAACACCCATGATTAAGTTATGATTTTTCAAATATTGGGACAGATTAGAGCATTTCACAACAACACCAAAATTGTGTTTTTGAGTTAAGCTAGCTTCTTAACCAATTAGGTACTTAATAGAATTAGTACCGAAGCTGGAAAATTCGATACTTAAAAACAAATACATGTATTAATGACTTAATGACCAAAGATGCTTCAAAAAAAAAAAAAAAAAACATTTTTTTCCTATGAAAATCGTACAATATCAAAATAATGAAAGTAAATAGTTTCCGATTTCTAGTTCGTTTCGTAAAAACGATTTTGTTTTAAAATTGTAAGAATAATATTCCGGTAATATATGAAAACAAACAAAAAATAGGAAAAGGTTGAGACATGTGTTCAACACATTGTTCTTAAAGCAAATTTGTCCGCTATCGGGTGTTTTTTTTCCCAGGATACAACAACTATAAGTGGTTCTTCTAGAAAACACGAACCCTCATTAGGCCTGAATTTTTCATTTAATTTAGCAAGAAAACTAAGAAAATGAAATAGAGAAGAATAGAGTTTTTGTATTCTTATTGGTGTCCTCAAATAGTTGTATGGTAGTAGTATTTATACTACATATTAGCTAAATTGCAATATTAATTACAATTTCAGTTACAAAGAAAATACATATTTGCAAGAAAGGTACCTAAAGTTTTCTTTTCTTTCTCCCAACAATTAAACTCTTTTATTTACTTCTTCCAACATTTTAGTATAAGGATTAATTTGTCATTCATATAAATCCATTTTTGGATGTGTTAAAAAAATGGGAAAAAACTCATTTTCATAAATTGGTTAACACCAATTTTCCAACAAATATTGGGATGTAGTTGTGGATTTCCCTTTACTAAAATAGTAAACATATACGATATTTGTGATGGAATAACAACCTAAAACTAGCGTTTTCACATTATCACTTTATTTGCTATTTTTGTTTGATTCTCTCTCTCTCTCTCTCTCTCTCTATATATATATATATATATATATATATATATATATATATATATATATATATATACAATTTTATTTTTTTATTCATATAATTAATATAAAATACACAAAAGTATGTAAATTGTTCAAGTCAATAAGGAAATATTTAGATAAAATATGAAGAAAAAAACAGTGTTGTAAATGGCGAGCTAGGCGGCTGCCTAGGCGCTAGACGGTCAAATTAAGCAAAGCCAGTCAACTATGGTAAACATCGGTCTAAGAGGGCTTAGACGGAGCTAGGCAACATAATTTAATTTTTTTTTTTAATTTTCAAATATTATATCAAAAATGTTCAAATTTTCAAATTTTAAATATCAAATGTTTTAAATTTCAAGGAATACTTCTAAATTTTCAAAATTTTAATATTTAAAAATTTAAAATATTTATTTGTTAAAATATAATAATTTTTGAATAAATTGTATATATTATATCAAAATAAATAAATAAACATAAAAAATTGTCATATTTATTAATTTTGTTACGATATAAGTAATATTTAAATTTAAAAAATAAATTTTAATAGAATAAAGAATCTCCGCCTAAACGTCAATTAATCACCGCTTACACCGATTAGGCGTTTGAACCTAATTGATGGTCTGGCTCCCATCTATCGACTTTTACAACCCACACACACAAAAAAAAAAAAAAAAAAAAAAAAAAAAAAAAAAACCTCTCGTTTTACATGCAGTTAACTTCTCTATATATAGTGAGACTTAACGACAGAGGGATTGGTGCTGTAATTAATACATACCACAGGGACCGTATTTGTAACAAAAAATTGCTTGACCAAAATAGCTTATTAGGCCAAACAATAGGTATCATTTATGTAAATTTGTCTTTTCTTTACGATGAAAAACAAAAACAACTTTTTATTATACTGATTTCTTTTGTGAATACACGTATGATCAAAATACAATAACTTTTCCGTACAACTGTAAACCCTTTTTGTCCTACGTAGATACATGTAATGTGTGGGTGGGTACTTTTTCACCGGCGGTGGAGGAGATATTGTAGTGTGGACAATTACACGTAAGGTTTTTTAGGTGGAGGAGGTCGCAGGGACTTGTGAACGGGTGGTGGTGGTGGTGAAGGGTTGTGCACGGGTGTATTTGGTGATGAAGGTGGCTTTGATGTAGGCGGATGCGGTTTTATATGTGGTGGATCCGGTGAGATAATGTTTTGATGTTGTTTATGAGGTGGTGGTGGTGGTGGAGAAGACTTCTGAAACCCAGGATGACGTGGTGACTTGTAAACATAATGATGCTTAGTTAATGACGCTGAGGATCTCTTAGGTGGAGGTGGTAGAGATGAGTAAGGATAGGTGGCGTCAGTGGATGGAGTAAAGCTTAAAGAAACAATAACCACCGCAAGAGAGATTAAATGGGTTGGCATCGAAGACGTATCCCCTTTCGTTCCCATTTCCACTAAAAGAAGTGGGATCTGATCAACTGTCTTTAGAGAAAACCTCTTCTTCCCTTTTATAGGCATAATCCTTCCAACTTTGCACTTAAAAAGGTTGTAATTAAAACTATGTTGAAAAATAAACAACCAACTACGTTAAATTTACAATGCATGTGCAATAATTAATAAGCAGTCGTAATCGGTACTCCGAAGTCCGACCCTAAAGGCCAAAACCCAATGACTTTTGGTAGGGTGGAATTAAGAATTTTAATAGGATACAAACATTATCAATATATTATATGTAGTTATTATCAATATATTATATGTAGTTATTTAATATCGGACATTAAAAAACATAAAACATTTATAATATTTTTAATTGTGGATACAATAACATGAAACTTGCTTATAAATATATATATTTTTTTATATATATAAAACAATTTTTTGGGGTATTGTAGTACCTCCAACGTCCCATCTAGTTCCGCTACTGTCTTTAAGATGTTTAATTACTATTTACAACAAAAAAAATTTAGTTTTTTTTTTGAAAAAATTAAGTAATATGCTACGTCAATAACTTTTTTTGTATTGTAAAGTAAAAGAAGATAGGTTTATGAGATAAAAAGACAAATTTAATCAATTTTATTTAAAAAATCTTAGGAAATAACCAAAATATTAAAAAATGGCTTGTATAAGCATCGAAATCGTAGGTAAGGTTCCATGATTTTGCCATTTGGACTGTGATTTTTGGTCAGACTTGCAATTTCATCAAAAATTTAATTTATTTTTCGAAATTTATCATATTAATATGACGGAATTGTATATAACATCTAACCATTTACGGTTTTCTTAATTCGACCACATTTGTGGTTTCATCTTTTCCATCTCATATGTCATTTCCTCTCCTCAGGTGAGAGTGATTTCATCTTTTCCATCTCATATGTCATTTCCTCTCCTCAGGTGAGATCGTAGAAGTATTTAATTCATAGGATTATACATTAAACATTTGTGTAATCTTATTTATTCTCATTTTTACATAAGTGAGGTTGTACAAATGTTTAATGCATAACCTTATTCATTAGATACTTGCAGGGGCGGTCCTAGCTAAGTGTCCGGTGTGGCACCAGCAACACCTAACTTTCACGAACGTAGTAGAAAAAAAAAATTAATTTTTACCTATTGTGCCACTACGTAAAAAAATCGTGCAACTGCTAAAAAAATTGTGCAACTACATAAAAAAAATTGTCACTCTATCCGGAATTACCAAACGAAAAAAAATAATAACGAACCCACAACCCAATGTTTTAATCGATTATTGTCTAATAGTCCAATTGCCCAAAACCCAAAATAAAACTTAAGTAGATAAATTAGCAATTTGGCTAATTGCTTGTAAAAAAGATAGCACATCCTAATTATTTGAGTGATTACACAGTAACACGACTTGTACATTCTAAGCCCGTGTTAGAAATCACAGATGTTAGGAATGGTATTTTTATGTATTTTTATATATGCATTTTGGTATATTTTTTACGTATTTATTTATCTTTTTACTTAAAATTTCATTGCAAGTAAACTCTAAGCTAACTGTTATATAGCTTATAAAACAACAAGAAAACACTATAGTACTAAAAAAAATTCAAAGATCATGTTCTTCCATTTTTTTTCTTAAATTGAGTTTGTAGATGTACAAAGTTAATGAATATCTTTATTAATTTTACATTGTATGAAAAAATTTTAGTTTCTTATAAAATATTTAATTATAAATTAGTAAATTTCACAACACAATATTGTTTCATTTCATAGTTTATATGATTTTTCTACGGTTGAATGGTGATTTTGTATAAAGTTGTTATGTGTAGTTTGCATGAGTTATATATGATTAATTATATAAAGTTATGAATTTTGTGAGTTCTCATATTAATAATATTTAATTATAAGGGGACAAAGTGGACAGCTGGACAGGATCAAATTTTTTTATTATATATTTTTATTTAAAAGTAAAAAATTATAATAATGATAAATGTCTTTTTTTCTGACTTGTTCTAGGTCTTTAAAGATATTTAATTCCTCATAACCGGTCATGTTTAATTGCATAAAGTTGTTACGGGTTTTTTACAATTACAAATGTTAATCCTACAAGGCTCCCTCAGACCACTAATACACAAACATATAGAACAAAGACAACAAGTTAAAGGTATAATGTAAAGGGTTATTGACATAGAAGCACAATGACTTTTTCTGTTTGGTTTTAAAAGGTCCTTCAATTAATTTCGTATCTCTGACCCTACTAAAGTAACAAATTATCTGCCAAATTAAGGTTTTCTCCATTTTTTTTACCGGTTACCTCGGTTGGTCAACGAAAGTCAAATATAACGTGGTCAGTAATATCCAGCTGGTGTCTAGTCAGCTTACTATATTATCTTCGTAAGGGTTCAATAGAACAACATTTACTATTTCCTTACCCTCCGACGAACACGAACCCTTGCGACCATGTCTTCCTCCTCCGAATCCTATAACACCGTTGCTATTTACCTGATTAAAATGAATCCTCCCTGCTTGTGTCGCGATTAGCCTGTGTCATAGCTCAGAGAAGCTTGGAAGCCTAACAACCTAGCTCATCGTTTTTACAATTTCGCAAAATCAATGGTAACGTATCGTTCGTTACAATCGATAAGTTTTAAACCTAAAGTTTTGACTTTTTTACTGTAAACCCCCTATTTTTATCGACAAAACCCCATTTACAACGAGAAAACCCTAAATTTTGAGCAGTAAAACCCTTTTTTCTGTGGTGTGCCTTTTTTTTTGTAGATATCCAACGACATTTACAACTTCTTCCAGTGGCTTGACCTAGCATTACCAAAACACTACAAGGATATTTTATGGAACATGAAACTTAGGATCGACGACCTTTTGGTTAGGAATGGTCAAGTTGTTGAACTGTGGAAGAAGGTGGAGAAGCACAAGCTTCTTAGGAAAGCTAAGAAGGAACTTGTTGAAGCTAGGATCCAAGAACTACTCATTGAGATTGAAAGGTTGAAGAATATGTTAAAAAAATGTTGTTTTGATTGCTCTGGTCTACTTGTTGTTTGTGGTCATGTACTTTAAGTTGTAGTTGGTGATGTAAGATGTTGGGTCATGGTGTATAGGTGCTTTTTGGAACATGGTGGATATAGGGATGGTCTTTTGGGTGATTAGGTATTTGGAAATCAAGTTAAAGCTCTTGTAAGTGATGCAAGGTGTATAGTGTTGTTGGATGGTGTGATGGTGGTATATGAAATGATGATCCTTTTGACAATTTAGTATAGGCAATGTACTTTAGCACCATTACGTATGGTCATGTAACACCTTTTGTATTGACTTATTTTATAATAGAAAGCATTGATTCTATTCTATTTTAACATTTCTTTATGGTTTCCTTGATAGTATACTGCATGAATTGTTATATCGTCCCCAAAGAATGCAAGTTATATAGTCCATTGATTATATAATATCATGCATGAGTTGTTATATGGTCCACACTCCACTTTCATATCAGGCTTACACTGGAATTCAATTTTCAGAATCCTTGCTCCTGGCTCATATTCATATAGGCAACTCATAAGAATAAGACGTTCAACTACCTCAAACAAATTTTTAAGTAGCATGGTCCACATAACAATTCCAAGAGGGACAAGAAACAAGGGACCATCTAATGCATAAAAAAGACATAAAGGATACTGGATCCCACAAGATAATATATTAATAACCAAAGTCACTGTCATACATTACATAACAATTCCGACATAGAATATTTAAAAGCAAACATCCTAACATGTTTTACTACATAATAAAAGAAACATCCCATGCAAAAACTACATTAAGTTGACAGGTTTTTCTAAAGTGTTACCCTCTCCATTCTTTCCTATAACTTGGGTTGCCAATTTTTTCTTAATGATCCTTTCACTCTTTTTCCTCCTCTTAACCTGGGGAATTACAACATTACCCCTCTCCCTTGTCACTTGTGTAGTCCCACTCTCCCTAATACCTTATGGATCCCCACATTTCATTCTTGTCCTACTTCCACTTGCCACTTCTATAATCATTTTCTTCACATTTTCACCCTATTAAATGAAACATAATTAATAACAAATTAAAAAATTAATAAATAAGAGTTTATATATACCTTTGTTGTCTTAGTCCTCTTAACCCTACTACCATGTGTATCCCTACCATCCATTCCTATCCTACTACCACTTGCCACTTCTGCACTCCTTTTCTTCACATTTTCACCCTTTTAAATGAAACATAATTAATAACAAGTAAAAAAAATAATAAATAAGAATTTTTATTTACCTTTGGTGCCTTTGTCCTGTTAACCCTAGTTGGTAACTTGTTTGGTCTTGACCTATCAACATTTGGACGTGTCTTCTTATTATGTCCTTCCACTTTGCACAAACTACATGATATCTTATTACCCTTCTTAGAAACTCTATGCTTTCCACCCTTTTTACTCACATCTCTAACTCTTTTAGTTTTTTTCCTACCATGAATCCTTCTATTCTTGGGGGTTAAAGGTGGAATGTAATTAGTTTCAGGCTACATCTTACTTCCATTCATTAGACAAATTTTGTACTGGTAGGTCTTCATATACATTACTCTAACAAAATAAGGATCCACATATTTCTCCACATCTTTATTGAGGTAGCTAATGGCAGAAACAGAATGAACACACCCATAACCATTAAGTTGCAACATCCTGCATGAACATGTCCTCATATCTAAATCAACATCATATGCCTCACTTCTTGACCTAGTCTCAAACTGGTTAAGTCCACTTGGCAATACCTCCCAAAACATTTGATTAAGCTTTAACTCATTCAACTTCAACCTTATTTCATATGAAACATCACTTGACCATCCATTAAGTTTTGCTGTGAACAGCTTGTTCATCATATACATTCTCAATTCTTCAAGCATTGTGATGATAGGTTTCTGTGACAACCCCAAAATATATTTCGTCGTTAAAATCCGTTTCCGTTAATAGAATATTCTATTTTATAAAAGTTCCGTTAAAAATGGGGTCGGAAAATAAATAAATGTTTTATTTATTTGCATTTTATGTTATTACCGTTGTAATAAAATAAATAAGAAAAACATGTAAACTATCTTTCCATTTTATTGGAAAAAGTTTATTTTTAATTACGACCATTTAACCGGGTAAAAAGTTTAAACCTCGTTAAACATAAGTATCGGGTAGTCGTATACCGGGTACAACACCCAAGCCTTATATAAAGGAGAGTGGACACTCCTTGGAAACCTTTTACCACACTAGACCCACTTTCTCTCTTTACTCTCTCTCCTCAAGTCCAATTTAACCTCAAAACCGCAAGTTTTCGCCTCCAAAACGTAAGTTCCCTTACCCTAACTTGTTCTAGACATCATTGATTTGTGTTTTAACTCAAAAATCATGCAACAAGGCTGAAAAAGAGGAGTTTATGGCCTAAGAACCTCCTTAGGCCGTAAACCCTTAAAATGATGTCAAAAGTGTCCAATTTCTCCCCTTTAAGCTTAGAAACTAGTTTTGGACCTAACCTAGAAGTGTTTGAACCTTGAATCATCAAGTTTTAAGGCTTGACAGAGGGTTTACGGTCCAAGCACATGCTTAGACCGTAAACACCCTCTAAGCTTGCAAACCAAGCCCCAAACACTTCCAAACCACATTTAGGCTTAAGATATGGCTTAGGGGCTTGCTATTTTGGACTTGGAACACCTAAACATCAACATTTGAGGGGTAAACTAGAGTTTACGGCCCAAGCATATGCTTAGACCGTAAACTCCCTTAAACCATGCCAAATGACCCTCTAAACCCCTAAAAAGCCTTACACCCTCACTAGAACTTGTTAGGAATGAGCCAAGGACCTTGAAATCAAAGAATTGAAGGTGTCCAAGAGTTTACTACTGTAAACCATGGGGTTTATGGCCGTTAACTCCCAAGGAGTGGTCCTTGGACTGTAAACTCCAAGGGAGTACTCTTTTGGAACCTTAAACACCCTATAGCCTTGTATATTACCTTAGAATCACATCTAGAACCACAAGAGGCTTGAAATCACTCACTTACACTCCTCCTATGAGTTTACGGCCGTAAGCTCATGGGGGATGTGGTCTCCCAATCGTAAACTCACTTAAGGTGAGTTTTAGAAGAGTAAACTCCATAGTGAGGTCTTATACTCTTTCCTTGCAACCCATTAGCCTTCTAGCACTCAACCATAAGACCTTTAATCACATTAGGATGTCTATATGTGTATAATTAGAGTCTAAATCACTAATCACTTGTAAAAATATGTCTTCATATGTTACTAGGGTCATAAAGGGTGTACAAGTCTTTACTTGACACCAAACGCTCATCCGACACATCCACCCGATCTACTCATTGCAGGTGAGTTCATACCCCTTAATGAACCTTTTTCAAATGTTTTTTTTTTTTGGGGGGGGGGGGTGGATACAAGTATAATTCTACATGTTTTATTATCAAATCATATGTGATTCACAAATTATCATCAAAAAGGGATTTTTCTACACTTTTAGCTACTTACCAATAAAAGTGTTTTAATTAATTATCAAATGCATTTTTAAGATTTATTTGTTGATAAACTATTTTCAAAACTATGTTTAAACTACTTTTCTTTTAAAATATATATCTACACTAATATATTTATATAAGTAAGACTTGAAGGACTTAGGACCGATAGCTCGCCTTATTTCCTGTTCTTGTTTGATGTGGTCTTAGGGTATCTGTTATCCGTCCGACTGTCGTTGATTTATTAGTTATATATCATATATATTTGTGTTAGATATGAAAGTCTTCATCTTACCAGCTACCTTGCTATTCAAAGTCATGAAATCGTACACTCTAGTTAACTATAATAGGTATAGTTAAGACTACTGCTCGTTACCTCTACTACTACCATACTCACTATAACTGTTGTTATTACAAGTTAATACACGTATAAGAGAACACTCTATGAACTATGCAAAAAGACTACTATACTATAATACAAGAGAATACACAAATCTAGAGTATAACACACTATCCCTCTATAAGACACTCTCTACCGCGCTTACACCATGTGACCAGGGCTTTCCGGAAGGAAGGAAACACTACATGTATAGATCTATACGGGGCGGACACTATTACATCCCGACTGTTAACTACAGTCCGGGCCGACTAGGCCCAGGGGTGGCACTACATCACTACACTACGCATGACCGGGAAGGTCATCGGGTTCTCTATTATCATTCAGTCTGGTTACATGTGGGGTTACACCTTTATCCAAATTAATACACTAAGACTTAAGTCTAAGCTAACATTCCCGAAGTAAGTCAGTATCTATTACTAATGGAAGTTTGCACCACTACTACTATCAACAGGCATAACTTTTCTTCATCTATGTTACTCACATGAGATTTATTATCATACTTTTACAACTAAAGGTTTTCAATGATAATACTTACACACAATTCAAAGGATTTAACTTACAATGTACTTTTCTGGAAAATATAGGATTTTCTAGGGATTTCTACTACTTATAAACATAAATTTCAGTTTTTATACTATAAGTTTGTAAACACTTTTATACAACAACGACACTAAATTCTTATGAACTCGCCAGCTTTATGCTGATACTCGTTTTCAAAATAACTTGTATCCTCAGGTCAAAAATAGACAGGTACAGGTGCAGCTTTTGGAGAAGATGGAGCACATACAAGACCCATCTTTTATTTTTGTTATACTTTTGGTGTCTATTAAACTTTTACAGAACACGTTTGTAATTAAAATTACTATATAAATGCAATGGTTGTTGTTGCTTGTTTTTACTATTATGCAATTGTTATGATACTGTACATGACGTCCTCCACCCCAGAACGTATTCCGCTGTTATCGGTTTTGGGGTGTGACAGTTTCTTCCTGGTTTCAACTATGACTGCATTGAAACTTTCACATCCTCTATTCTCCATACTAGAGCAACATCTACCAACTTGATAGTAAGTTGTTGACCATGTTTTAGGGTCCTTCTCTATCAAGTAGTTACTTGCCATTGGACTCATAAGCTTAATATCCTTCATTATTTCCTTGAAAGATTGTTCTATTGTTGCATTAAATGCAGACCAAAACTTGTTAACAAATTGTGCCCCTATAAACTTTTTATTGAATTTGGCCACAATGTGCCTTGCACATTGCCTATGCTCAGCTTGTGGTAATAATTCTTTGATAGCTTCCATAAGACCCTATACCAACATACAAGTAGTTAGAAATGAATTGGGTAATATACTTTGTGAAAGTGAAATAATAAAAAATGTTTTGCTTACTTTGTGTTGGTTTGACATAAGAGTTAAACCTTGTCCCATGCCAAGATTGATATCATCACTGAACAATGACATAAACCATTTCCAGTTTTCCTTGTTTTCAACACATACCACTGCCCCAGGCAATTGGGTATATTTGGTCCCCAGCATCTCTCTCCACAGCACAAAGCAACTCACCAGTAACATACCCTTTCAAAAAGCAACCATCAATTCCAATCACCTTCCTGCACCCTTCTAACCACCCCTTCTTTACACCATCAAAACAAACATAATACTTACTAAAATTATTAGTTCTATCTGACATTGTAACAACATCCATGCTGACTATTGAACCAGTGTTGCATCTTTTAATTTCCTCTCCACAAAAGCAGAGCTTAGCATAATGCTCAATAAGAGTACCTTCAACATCGATAAACACGTGATAATCCATTTCGTTAATTATTACCCTAAGACCATTTGCTATAGTGAGATCACGTGCTGAGTAATAAAGTATCTCAAAAAGGTCTCCAACAAACCTTTCTAGAAATTCATAACACCCATGTAAATCCATTCCAGAGAAATCATGACCAGTAAACATGAACGTTTCACCTCCAGTGTATCTATGTGGGGTGTCTTGTAAAAACACCGTTATAGTGTAAATGCACTTTCAAGAAAATAAGGTTTGGGTTCGCCAAGAACTTTAACTAGAAAAGAACCAGATGAACTTTAACTACAAAAGAACACCCTAGACGAGAGAAAACTTACAGAAATGAGAGAGAAAAGCCCTAGAATCTTGAACACTTCAACACGATTTTGATAACCGACCGGAGTAAAGCCATTTTTTGAATAGTTATACGAAGGCGTTGACATATCATTGATAAGATGTCATTTAATTGAAGAAATCTAAAATCTAAAGGCCACACCACATTTAATTACCGGGTAACCGGCTTTAATGGTATAAACGACAAGTAATTTGTCACTTTAGTAAGGTAAGAGGTATGAAAATTAGTTGAAGAACCTTTTAAAACCAAATGGAAAACATCATTGTGTTTCTATGTCAATAACCCTAATTTAAAAGCACATGCTTGAAGTTATTACAAAACTATTTCTTTTTTACTATTCTTTTAATTTTCTCTTAAAGTGAATGAGTTTTCTAACTAGTATATATGTTTGTTATAAGGAACTACACATAAATTGTTTTTAGTTGAGGGAATTAATTGTAGACAAGGATTAATTGTAGACAAGGATTAAATCGATTAAGAAACTAATAGTTATTTTATATTGAAACTTGAAGTAAAAATGCATAAATATATAAAATATATACCAAAATACATAAAAATATTTAAATATATATGTAAATACATAAAAATATGTTTATATGTTTAAAAATATATAAAAATAAATAAATAAAACTATATAAAAAACTTAAAAATATATAAATAAGTAAAAATATATAAAAATGTAAAAACTATTTAAAAATACATATAAATATGTAAAAAAATACGTTTATACATTATATATAAATTTTGAAGAAATCCATAGAAAAATCTCATTATTTTAGGAAAATTAAAAATTAAATCTCATTACTTGCTGAACATGTTAAAATAGCTAAAATGAATAAATTAGATAGTTTTTTAGACTTTTCTATTAAAAAAAAACCTTTAAAGATTTTATTATTAATTTTTCTAAAATAATAAAATATTTCGGCGGATAAATTTTAAGAAAAACCATTAACTTGTATTCATGAATGAAAGCAAAAGTATTTTTAATAGAATAATAAAAGATTAGAGATTTAAAAATTATGTCTGGTGTATTTCTTTATACACAGGACATTTGTATAAAGATATAATATATTTTTTTTCTAATAACCACATGTTTGATGATAAGGTTTTTAGACATTTTGAGAACTTTTAACAATTTTTTCAAAGTTGAACTTTTAGCTGTTAAAAAGAAAGTATAAAAAAAATAATAATAAAAAATAAAACTTCCACGTCTTAGAGTACAATTTGCAGTTTTTATTTTAGAACAAAAAATTTGTAATCTAGAAACTTGTTGAACCAACATTTAAAGAAAATCTCAAGCCTATTATCACGAAATTAGGAGGCTGCCTTTAAAAACTCATGTATTATCTTTATATAATTTCACAATATTGAAAAACTTAGACATTTTTTTGACAAACATTACTAAACAAATAAAAAAATATAACTTTGAGCTCCAAATAAAAATTATAACTTTCAATTTGTAAAAACTATATTTACCCAAAATGGCTAAAGACTTTTGGGTGTCACTTTCGGTTATACCACTCTCTTTGATAAAAAAAAATGTAACGACTTTTTACTCATTAAAAGTCTTGGATCCTTTTCATATCATGTGAATTGAATTTTAGAAGTATTTGTCTATTTGATAAAGCATCTTAATCCTAGAAAATGATATTATTTTTGTAAATAAATAGTTAATTATTTTTATAATCATTTTGAAAAAAAGGTCGTAATTGATGATTTAGGAAACAATTTGTAAGTATATGATGATTCAAATGGTTAGAAGTATTTTTACTATCAAGTAAAATAATTGTTTCAATATAACGAGTTAAGTTCCATAAGTTGATTTTTTTATTGTTTTATATTTAATTTGATTTATTACCCCTTAGGCCAGACGAAGTGGACTCGAGGAGCTCGACAAGTTCCAACGTGTATTCGGTGTACACTATTCCTCCAACTCGGCATGCCGAGTGGGTAGGGTTAATTTGGCAACCTAGTGTAGATGAGAGAGTGTAATTAAAATTTTCTTTATCACTTTAAAAGAATACCACATTTTCATTGTAACATCCATAAAAATCACAAGAATTTAAACTTTTTAAAACAACCCCAAATCATAGAATGTTTACAAAATCATTGTTTTCATAGTATTGTTCCATATCAGAGTATCCCATAGATCAAAAGTACATAAAACAGAGGATGTGTGCGGTCACGCTTTCGACTTCTCATGATCATCCGAAGTACTTGAAACCACAACTAAAAACAGTAAGCCAAAGCTTAGTAAGTTCCCGAAAAGTACCAACATTTAAACATATAACATATATAACATAATGTCGGATCCAATCAACCTTCGTGTTGGAATACCTCAACCCAATCAACCATCGGCTTGGAATGCCAACATACTATGGGTACAATCAACCATCGGGTTGGAATACCCAATGTCCAATCAACCTCCGGGTCTAGTCATCCTCAGGATGGAATACCCTAGGTTGGAATGCCAATATACAACAGGTCTAGTCATCCTCGGGACAGAATACCCTCAGGCCGAATCAACCATCGGGTTAGAATGCTCCCAGTCTGTTGGCTCACGTAGAAAGCAGTAAAGCCTCAACAACCCATCAAATATGTGCACATATAATAGATAAACATGTAATCAGTCGACAGACAATTAAACAGATCTACAAATCACTAAGCATATCATCGTCCTATCTACATGGATACCGATCTAACATATCACTATGACATGATAACATACTATCACATAACAGGATATCTAATCCAATGGGTCGGCCTTGGTGCCTTTGACATGTAAGTACAATGAGGAAGACTCACTCACAGACTGGACAAAAGTTGATGAGGTCTCGACTCCGAATCTTAGCTCTAAGCATGAACTGTTCAACTAAATGACCAGTCATAATCAAAATCCCAAAATACGCTTAGGTCAAAGTTGGTCAAAGTCAAAGTCAAAGTCAAAGTGGTCAAATCAACTAAGTCAACCCAGCCGAGTCACCATAGAGTGAGTACTCAGGGCGTACTCCAAATGTACGTTGGGCGTACTCAAATGTTGACCACCATCGGGGTGCTTGACCTCGTACGTAGGGCGTACTCCAGGTATACGGGGCGTACTCCCAGAAGTCGAAAATCTCAATAAGAGCTTAATGGCTTAAGGTCTTACGTCCATCTTTCAGATCCATGGCTAAAATACCCTCATGAGTCATAAAGTTTCCAACTTTATGACTTTGCATGTCCATCAAGTGTTTAACTCAACTTCTTAATCCATTAAGACCTTCTAAATGATGCATGGAGCAAAACCAACCATTTGGAACCCATTTTTATGACTTAATACCCATCCAAAGGTCTGAAAGGACAACTTAATGGGTCAAGAACATGCTATCTTCATGAATCTCCACAATTTGAAAAAAGGACCAAAAATCATTCCAACACAAGATCTAAGTTAAACTTCACCAAGTTCAGAACTTGATACCTCAAAATGGTGCCAAAAGGTAGTGTGATCCTGGATCTAAAGAGCTTCACTCCTCCAAGGTGGTCTCTCCTTCCTTCCTTCTTCTTCAAAAACACAAAAAATACACTCTCAAGCTTAGAAATGCTTTACAAGATGGATTAGGGTTGCAAAAACATATCAAGAAGATGGAGGTTGATGAGGTGAGAAGCTCTATACTTCTATCAAATCACTCTTGCCTTAAAATTTTCCAAACTTAAATCCAAAATTCATAAAAGGCCCAAAACCGACATTTTACGATTATACCCTTGGTCTTCAAAATGCAAACTGAACTCCCGGATCACCCATTCTACCTTATCTACACCCAAAGAGGCCTAAATCTCTGCTTCCCCAAGGCCCAAATCCTTATAACAACTGATCTTCGAGTCATAACCCCGAATTAGGAAACGATTCAGAACACAAATCCTTATAACAACTGATCTTCGAGTCACAACCCCGAATTAGGAAACGATTCAGAACATGGTGTTACAGTACGTTGCACGTACGTGGTCAACAACCTGCTTTTTGGTCAAGCCCCTAGTACGACGTACGCACAAGCTGAGTACGCTGGGTGTAATCAACTAAGTTGACTCAGTTGACTTCTTTGACTTTCAACTTTGACCAGGATTTAACCTAAGGGTATTTTGGGCATTTTGAGTTGTAGTTGAGATTGGTCACTATTTGATCTATAGGTAACCGATAAAGTTGATATTCAGAGTAGTGTCATGTTCATCTATCTTTTTAGACTGCGAAGTGAGTTTTCCTCACTAAACTGTGGGTCGACGGCACCAATATCGGCACATTAGGTTATGTATCCAAGTATATATTATGTTGTTTTGATGTGGTGATATGTTAGATATGTATCTTGGTATATAGAATGTTGTTATGTTATAGTGATCTGTTAGATCTGCCTCCTGGTATATAGGATGTTGCTATGCGGTAGTGATCAATAGATCTTCCTGCTGATTGATTATGTGTTTATATGTTGTTTATGTCGACATATTATGTTCTAGGTTGAGGCTTTACTACTATGTGCGTGATCCAATAGATCGGGGGTAATCCAGCCTAATGGTTATGGACCTGAGGGTGTTCAAGTCCGATAACTGAATGGGACCGTCACATATTTGTATTCCAGTCCGATGACTAATTGGGTTTATCACATGTTGGCATTCCAATCCGATTACTGATTGGGTCAGGGGTAATCTAGCATGATGACTTTGTCCCGAGGGTATTCCATTCTGATGACTGAGTGGACCCAACATGCATGATTGTATATGTTATCTGTTGTGTGGCGGTACTTTGAGGGAACTCACTAAGCTTTGACTTACATTTTTAATTTATTGT